TAACAGATCGCACGGGCATAAAGTTCAATGCAAAAGGCCAGTGAACCCAACGAGGATGTAAAAGGCCAGTGAACCCAACGAGGATGTAAAAGGCCAGTGAACCCAACGAGGATGTAAAAGGCCAGTGAACCCAAAGGCAAGGACGTAACTTCAATTGCAATTGCACACATGTTTACAACTGTGTCCATGGACACCATGATTCTCATGCACGTCCAGTTGAAATACGAAGATTGCACCAAAACACCATGATTCTCATGCAAGTCCGATTCAAATATGAAGATTGGAAGAGAAAACATTCAACGTACATTCAGCAATCAGCTCGCTGGTGAAGTTAGTTAAAAATTGGCACAACAAATGCCATTCCGAGTAGCTTGCAAAAACACCATGATTCCCATGCACGTCCAATTCAAATACGAAGATTGGAAGAGAAAACATTCAACGTACATTCAACAACCATACGAGATTTTTTTAAAAACACCATGATTCCCATGCACGTCCAATTCAAATACGAAGATTGGAAGAGAAAACATTCAACGTACATTCAACAACCATACGAGATAGCACAAAAAACACCATGATTCTCATTCATGTCGAATTCAAATACGAAGATTGGAAGAGAAAACACTCAACGTACATTCAACAATCATCGGGCTGGTAAAGATAGCTAAAAATTGGCACAACAAAATTTAATGCGGTTCCGAGCAGCTTGAAAAAAAAAAAAGGAGCTCGCGCTCGTTATCGCACATACTCATAAAGAAAAGGTACCTGCTTTTGGACTGCTGTCCACAATCTGAAACGTCATGCACTCTCGCAACTACCGAGAGTACAAACTACTGGGCATGTATAAAATACGTCAAACTAGTCACACGAACGAGCTCCACGGAAGCAGCGGAATACTACAAAAAATGCACGTAGACAATTGCTGCTGCCCGCAAGTCGACAGCGGAAGACTACTCAAAATGCACGTCCACAAGTACTAAGAAACTGACTAATCAAGGTAATACTACTCGAAATGACAACTGTGGCGTGTGCAGAAATCAGCTGTCGACAGATGATACACATCATGCACATCATGACGCGCTTCCTCGGCCCTCGGGTGCCCTTGCGGCAGCGAGCACCTTGATCGCGTCAGCAATCAAAGCCCACCCTCTGTCCATGGACTCAATCTGTTTCTCCATGCAATTGATGCGTGCCTTGATCTCCTCCCTCGCCACTTCTGTCTGCCTGTCCATAGCTGCGACCGTCTTGTTAGTGCACTCGGAAGACAGGCGGCACTGCTTCTCCCCCTGTCGTGTGATGGCTGCAGTGTGTTCACCCATCATGGCTGCCACGTCCTTCATTGACTTCTCTCGCGCGTTGAGAGAACCACGCCTCTTCTTAGACGATGCAGGAGTGTAGTCCGGCAGTTGATCAGCCGCAGCTGTGGTCACACAGGGCGTAGATTCCTGAGAAGCAGGCGGAGGAGAAGCGCCTGCAGCATGGTCCTGTTCAGTGCCCGGGTCGTGAATGTGTTCAGCGTGGATGGTCGGGTTGTTCGCGTCGTACACATTAAACAGGTCGAACCAATCCCTGCGCATATAGAAACCGAGGTTCTCTGCGCACTGTTTTGTTGGCATCATTCGCCAGTAGCTCTGTTGTCCACTCCTCCGATCGTTGTCTCCGATCCTTTGGTGCCAGCCTGCCAGGTTCTTATGTCTGGTTTGGCAATCAATCCACTCTCTTGTGAATCCCTTGCTTGCAAGGATAGCCGCCACAACTTGCCATTCTTCTTCCCGCTCAATGTGTTTCCCATGTTTTCTGATGTCAAATCCTTGCCACAGAGAAGGTCACCATGAGCGCGAATGAGGGCAACGGTCTCATCATCGCTCCAACAATTCCTCTTCCTCTTTCCTGTTCTTGTCTTTTCTCCCGGTGACAAGCCCAGCGAATCACCAGAGTCTCCTCCCCCGCCAACACTACCATTGCCACCGCCCTCACCGCCTGACGCAGCACCGTCATCACTGCCTTCGTCACCGCTGTCGTCACCACCACCATGTGCATCACCACCCGCACGAACTGTCACGTCAATGCTTGTGGCTGCATTTATGTCCTGCGCCGACCCCCCCGTGCTGTCACTCCCTTGTCCACTTCCATCCTCTCCGATGTCCGTGTTGAACTCTTCTGAAAATGTGTACGCCGCATTTGCCTCTCCAACATAGGCACAGTCATCTTCTTCGCACGAACTGCTCCCGTTGCCGTTCACCAACATCGTAGGACTCCCACACAAATGCACTTCCTCACTGACTCCGCTGTTATCAGTTGTCGAGCTGGAGTGTCCATGTAGTTGTGCATGGCCACCGAATGGAGTAAAGAGGTGTGCTGGATAACGGTTCGTTGGCGGATGCTTGGCGAAGTCGTGGCCAACATCCAAGCCGAAAATGGAAGGAGTGTGGTGTGGACTGCCGGCGCTCTGCTGAGTCGTTGAGTCCACTATCACGACAGGATGCGGAGGCTGAGGACCTTCGGCCGACGCGTTACCAGTTGATGGTTCCTCGGAATCCGTGGAAGATTGATGTCCCTCAAGCACTGCGACGACCCCCTGAGAGTCCCACTGCATGGCCCGCCTGCGCAAGCTTTCCCGAAAGGCTTCTAACTCCGCACTTCCATCATCCGAACAAAGACGGATGGCAGATCCAGTCAGCTGCACGGAACCGCCCTCCACTTCTCCATACAGATCCATGATACACTCGAGCGTTTCGAAAGCAGCCCGCTGAGCCCGCGAATCGACACACCGCGTCCCACTGATAGCTCGAAACGGAAAAGGCTGCAGCACTCCCCGTCACCCCGCAGATCTCAAACACACCTAGAATGGGAGAAAGCGCCCGCAGCACTCCCCGTCACCGCGCGTCACGTGATAGATCTCGTTTCGGATAGAAGAAACAACAAAGGGATAAACGCACCCACAATGGGAGAAAGCGCCCGCAGCACTCCCCGTCACCGCGCGTCACGTGAAAGAAGGAGAGTGCGGGAGAGCTCTTCAACTACCAGCGAAGGGCCGCTGCACACTCACCGTCTCGTTTCGGATAGATCTCGTTTCGGATAGATCTATGCGTCGGTCGTCTTCATGACGAGCCCAAGACCTCGCCTTCAGCAACGGTCGGGCAGGGACCTGCTGTGTCTATGCACTACTCTCCACATGCGGAAAAGACAAACAAGACTGCAATGTAGCTGTCCATGTTCTAGTGGTGGATTCAGAGCCTCGCCACACAGGCTGTCGAAATGTGCAAAACGAGAATGAACTTCCCGCTACAACATGGCCAGATGCACCTGCGACATTTTTGTCATTTTCGCGTTTCGACAGGCTGTGTGGCGAGGCCATCAGTCTCACTTTGCACAGGATGGTAAGAGCACGTGTCGCTGCACTGCATTTCTCCCGGTTCTAAGGCGTACTCACACTAGCACTCTCTTGAATGTAACTGACCGCATTTACGGCCGCACGTGGATGCATGTGGTCGCAATTCCGACCCTAAATAAGTTAAAAAGTCCTAGTGTGAGCGTGGCCAAAGTATGGGCCTCGCTGCACTACTCTCCACATGCACAAAAGACAAAAAAAGGTGGCAATGTATGTTTCCATGTTCTAGCGGTAGATTCAGTCTCATTTTGCACATTTAGAGAGTAGTGCAGCGAGGCCCTACGACAGTTGGAGAGTAGTGCAGCGAGGCGCTGTGACAGGAAGGTAGTATCCATGGGCCTTGCTGCACCGCTCTCCAAATCTGCAAAACAAGACTGAACACACCGCCAGAACATGGAAAGATACATTGCCATCGTTTCTGTCCTTTGTGTTTGGGTTTGAGAGCACCGAGGCCCTACGTTGGCTTTCACACGCAGATACATTAGAAGCCCGGACTATCAACACACGGCAGGATGGGAACACGGTCTGACAACTAACCGCTTTCAGCAGGACCCGCCGCAAATGCCACTAAGCCCGACGATCTCAAGTGAAACACCAACTGCCCATGACAGGGGCATCAAAATTATAAAATATTCTACAATTTTTTTTTTTTTTTACGAGATGATATTTTATCCATTTTCGGAGAACAATTCCCCGAAAATGTTCGCCCCACACAGGTCGCTCCAAGGCCACACACCGTCACACTGGATCGGCCACAACTTTATCCTCCTGCTAGTGGGACCTCGCTCCAGGGGTGCGTCTTATACTCCGGAGTCAATTTTCTCGTCATTCGTTCTACCGGTCATCCGTTCGGGTCCTGACGGTGGTTGTAAGGGTGGTGAATTTGCTGGGGGACCAATTCATGGGGAACGGGCAGTTGTTGCTTGCGGAGCACCTGTAGCTGCCCAAAGGAGGTCGAGGAGGCTGTGGTCCTTGAGTTGAACATTTCAAAATTCAAACAGCGTGGGTCCACGTTTCTCGAATAGAAGGGCACTTCCAATAGTCCACGTACTCGTTGTATTCGAATACAACACATACCTCGAATTTCGAAATGAAAAAACTCTTGTATCAACATTACCTTTCCTTTTTTTTTTCGAGGTTAGTGCCTGCTCCCCGCCACTGACATGCTGCATGCTGCATCTCTCTCTCTCTCTCTCTCTCTCTCTCTCTCTCTCTCTC